TTCTAAATCAGTGCCTGTTGGGGAGATTTTCGCACGATGAATGAAAGGTGAACAGATTCTTCCCGTGGTAAACTCGATCATGGATATGGTAGATCCCACAACAAAGAATGGGTTAAGAGAGTCAAAGGGGGTCTAAGTTTCAGAGGGCATTCAGTTAGCTCCGGTGGGTCGCAAGATGCTTCTAGCACACAAATAAACCAGTAAGAAGGGCGTTAGAATGTTTTTTGGCGTATCCCTTCCGACGGTCAAGTTAGTTTTTTGAGAGAGGAGAAGAAGAAAACACTTTATGACTTTTGAAAGGTGATTTTGCGTACATTTGCAATGTATTTTTTAGGGTTATTTATATGTTCAAAGACTTATCATTACTGATAGTCTAGGCAGTAGGTAGCCTTCAGAGATAGAATTGTGTGCCTCCTCTTTTGTGTGGAGAATGTCTCAGTATTAATTGCTCGGGCTCATGAACAGTTAATGCTCTTTCTTCGATATAGAGGTTTTAAATGCTAGGAGTCCAAGGCATTTAATGTCTCTTATCCTTGGCTTCTCAAGTCACTGTGGATGTCACATCATATGAAGATTCATTAAATGTTTGTCTGAAACAGCCATATGTCAGCAAGGGTTATTTTGCATCTTACGCCACTTGNGAGTCCAAGGCATTTAATGTCTCTTATCCTTGGCTTCTCAAGTCACTGTGGATGTCCCATCATATGAGGATTCATTAAATGTTTGTCTGAAACAGCCATATGTCAGCAAGGGTTATTTTGCATCTTACGCCACTCGTCTGACTCTCCTTGACTGAATGTCTAGTTGGTTTTGCTATTCTGACTTCATTGTGCAGAGTATCCGCCTGACTCTTAGTCTAGTTTAGACTGTTCAGTTATCAATCAGTAGTCTCCCTAGAAGTCAAAGACTTGTGGCAGGAGCGGTATGAGTACCCTCGGGGCCGAGAACATTTGTCCCTCCAGGGAGTGGAGGTACCCTCGGCACCGAAGGCATATGCCAAGACGCCGAGGAACATTTCTATTAGAGTAGGAGGGTCTCGGTGCCAAGGACACGTGGCTCCGCCAAAGGCAAAGATGTACCTCAACACCGAGTACACGCGTTGTTGATCCAATAGTCTCCTAGAAGTGTCCNCCGCCTGACTCTTAGTCTAGTTTAGACTGTTCAGTTATCAATCAGTAGTCTCCCTAAAAGTTAAAGACTTGTGGCAGGAGCGGTATGAGTACCCTCGGGGCCGAGAACATTTGTCCTTCCGGGGAGTGGAGGTACCCTCGGCACTGAAGGCATATGCCAAGACGCCGAGGAACATTTCTATTAGAGTAGGAGGGTCTCAGTGCCAAGGACACGTGGCTCCACCAAAGGCAAAGATGTACCTCAACACCGAGTACACGCGTCGTTGATCCAATAGTCTCCTAGAAGTGTTCCATCAGTGCCCATCGATCCCTACTTAAACCCAAAAACTTTAGACCACTTCAGAAATTTTATCTCATTGAAGGAGTTGTCTATGATAACCAAATTAAAAAAAAAAATTGATACCATTCTGACATTTATCATTTTTGTAGATATTTTTATCATTATTGTGACACTGAAAGAAATAATCTTTTTGTACTAATGATAAAAATAATTATCACAATAGCGATAAAAACACTCAAAAAATGATAATTTTTTTTTTTTGTAAAGTAACCCACAAAAGTTGTAAAGACACCATTTAGAATAACAAAATTTATCCATACTGTACCAATTTTATTTTTTTTTGATACCTTAGTTAAATCCCCCATTGAATTATAATTTATAACTTGATCAAGTTGGACGATAACTTGTACCAAATTATTTTTCGTAAAGTTTCGGTTTTGTCTGGCTAAGATTAAAGCAAAATCACCACTTGTGTGTAAAACATTCAACACTTCAACCTAGCAGTTTCTGTAAAATATGGGTAAGTTGATATTGCACAAAAGAAGTAGTATTCTAGCATATATCATCCTGAGTCACACTCCCTTAGACTAGATAAACTAGAGAACAACTTTGACAGGGTTCTCCTATTTCCAAATCTAGAGGCAAACCATCCAATAACAAGAATCTCAGTAGTACAAAAAACTTGAAGCACTTGTATATTGTAACCTCATGTTACCCCATGATTGAAGTAATTAATGGCGGAAGTCTTCTGTTTAATGTACATATTGAAGAGGGGACCACCAACGAGCACAACTCTCCTCGAGAAATATCCAGAAAAATATATGATCGTGCTGATATCTGTCCTCCTTGATTCCTCAGCAGGCCCCGTTGGTTTGGGGACTTCAATTGCATATCTTGTCAAATGAGAAACCAAAACATAGTGACCGAGTTAACATTATAATACTGGTGGGATTCTGCCATGGTATCAAATACGTATCCGTGTGTGCGTGTGTTACGCATATACCAAAACCACAAAGGTAAAANCCAAAGGCAAAGATGTACCTCAACACCGAGTACACGCGTCGTTGATCCAATAGTCTCCTAGAAGTGTTCCATCAGTGCCCATCGATCCCTACTTAAACCCAAAAACTTTAGACCACTTCAGAAATTTTATCTCATTGAAGGAGTTGTCTATGATAACCAAATTAAAAAAAAAAATTGATACCATTCTGACATTTATCATTTTTGTAGATATTTTTATCATTATTGTGACACTGAAAGAAATAATCTTTTTGTACTAATGATAAAAATAATTATCACAATAGCGATAAAAACACTCAAAAAATGATAATTTTTTTTTTTTGTAAAGTAACCCACAAAAGTTGTAAAGACACCATTTAGAATAACAAAATTTATCCATACTGTACCAATTTTATTTTTTTTTGATACCTTAGTTAAATCCCCCATTGAATTATAATTTATAACTTGATCAAGTTGGACGATAACTTGTACCAAATTATTTTTCGTAAAGTTTCGGTTTTGTCTGGCTAAGATTAAAGCAAAATCACCACTTGTGTGTAAAACATTCAACACTTCAACCTAGCAGTTTCTGTAAAATATGGGTAAGTTGATATTGCACAAAAGAAGTAGTATTCTAGCATATATCATCCTGAGTCACACTCCCTTAGACTAGATAAACTAGAGAACAACTTTGACAGGGTTCTCCTATTTCCAAATCTAGAGGCAAACCATCCAATAACAAGAATCTCAGTAGTACAAAAAACTTGAAGCACTTGTATATTGTAACCTCATGTTACCCCATGATTGAAGTAATTAATGGCGGAAGTCTTCTGTTTAATGTACATATTGAAGAGGGGACCACCAACGAGCGCAACTCTCCTCGAGAAATATCCAGAAAAATATATGATCGTGCTGATATCTGTCCTCCTTGATTCCTCAGCAGGCCCCGTCGGTTTGGGGACTTCAATTGCATATCTTGTCAAATGAGAAACCAAAACATAGTGACCGAGTTAACATTATAATACTGATGGGATTCTGCCATGGTATCAAATACGTATGCGTGTGTGCGTGTGTTACACNCTCAAAAAATGATAATTTTTTTTTTTTGTAAAGTAACCCACAAAAGTTGTAAAGACACCATTTAGAATAACAAAATTTATCCATACTGTACCAATTTTATTTTTTTTTGATACCTTAGTTAAATCCCCCATTGAATTATAATTTATAACTTGATCAAGTTGGACGATAACTTGTACCAAATTATTTTTCGTAAAGTTTCGGTTTTGTCTGGCTAAGATTAAAGCAAAATCACCACTTGTGTGTAAAACATTCAACACTTCAACCTAGCAGTTTCTGTAAAATATGGGTAAGTTGATATTGCACAAAAGTAGTATTCTAGCATATATCATCCTGAGTCACACTCCCTTAGACTAGATAAACTAGAGAACAACTTTGACAGGGTTCTCCTATTTCCAAATCTAGAGGCAAACCATCCAATAACAAGAATCTCAGTAGTACAAAAAACTTGAAGCACTTGTATATTGTAACCTCATGTTACCCCATGATTGAAGTAATTAATGGCGGAAGTCTTCTGTTTAATGTACATATTGAAGAGGGGACCACCAACGAGCACAACTCTCCTCGAGAAATATCCAGAAAAATATATGATCGTGCTGATATCTGTCCTCCTTGATTCCTCAGCAGGCCCCGTTGGTTTGGGGACTTCAATTGCATATCTTGTCAAATGAGAAACCAAAACATAGTGACCGAGTTAACATTATAATACTGGTGGGATTCTGCCATGGTATCAAATACGTATCCGTGTGTGCGTGTGTTACACATATACCAAAACCACAAAGGTAAAAATCATACCATTTTCAGATTATCAGGGGTCCAGATCGAGATATCTGCTCTCTGGAGTTGGAGCAACTCTTTAGCACCTCCCATACTCCATCAACTGAAGCATGCTTCATAGTCATCCACTAGAGCACATGTGAATTTGAAAGCAGAAAGTTGATAAAATTTAGTTCCTGTCTAACACCGGAGATTCAAGCTATTTTAACAACCCGCAGCTGGTTAAATGAGCAAATCTGAAAATCTTCTCCAAAAATGCTTGCAACCAATTGCAATTTTGAAAATGTTTCAAATGTAGCTCCAACAAACGAGAACCATAGGGGCAGGAAACCTTCAACCAAGCAAAAGTTGGAGATGTGGAAAATCATCATAATATGCAAGTCAAAGGACTCATATTGTAAGTTCACATGATTTTTATATGTACATAACAGGTAAAAGCTCACCAACATCTCAAGCTCTTGTAGGTTAGGGGAACTTTTAATAAGACAAAAAGTTGCCAAACTCTCCTCCATGTCATTGAGATTTATGTGCATAGAAAGGTAATTCAGCTCGATACATGGTGTAGGCAGCCTTTCTGGAACCATACCACCAGCCAAATGCTTTATACCAATGAAAGGTACAGTGAGAGGACATGATCAACAATGTTCACAAGCTTATTTTTCATGAGTTCCGATCTTGAGAAGAGTGTGGAAGGGTGACCCAATTATATCTCCACCTGCTCGACAATACACTTATCCTCACTGCATCCCTAAGTGATAAATCTGACAAAATTTTCTGTATAATATGCCCCAGTAAGTTGCTGATTTTGCCCCTCTCCATTTCCACACTACAGGGGACCTTGGCCAGTTCTTTTTGCTTCTACAATGTGTACTAAAGAAAGATTACAATTCACAGGGATTAGAGAAAATCATGTCTGTTAGTATGTAAATCACACAAGCGTGCACACACAGACACAGAGGAGAGAGAGATGATGATGATGTGTCAGCAGTGAATGCTTGCTATGGAAATTTCTTGTATACACAGTTTTCTCTTCACTAGCAATTTCATTATAGGCTTTTTTCAATTCATTTAAATACACATGGGAAATGAAGAAGGGATTGACAGAATCAAAATGTCATTGAAAAATGAGGGAACAAAGCGTTTACCCAAACACTAGGGTTCACTGCATAAATATTAAACAACTTGCTATACACAACATATTCATGCATTAGACATCCATTTCTACTGCATAAGGCATGAACTTTTAGGTCTCCTTGTACTACTGGTGATGAACTTACTCTAGAAACTTTAAACTGGCACAATTAAACAAGATGCATTCCCAGTTGTTTATTTTTAGAAACTGTGACACAGATGCAATTAGCATCATCGCAAAGTCCTTAGTTTTAACCCCACAGCCACTAAAGCACATGCTAACTGAGGTACCATGGGAGAAACATTTTGAGCTGCTGCTGGTAATAGTAGTTCTGACAGCAATTATGCACTAAATGGGTAAATTAGGAGGCAAAGAGCACGCCAAATTCAGGGACCCCAACACCACTCCCCCATTCCCTCAAAAAGACAAAAAAGAAAGGAAGAAAGGATGGTTTCACATAAAGTGGACTCCGTATGCATACTTCTGGCAATATGGTAAGAGGAATAGAGATGTAGATAAAACAGAATGATGGTTTTGTAAAGCTTTGACATTGAACTAAAACTAACGCTAACTTGATCCATTTGAATGATGTGTTCTAGTTTGCAACTCTGTGCACCAATGATGATAAGCAGGAAAAAAGCACTATGCAGTTCCAACTTCCAAGAAGGTGGTGAAATTGTTAACAGATGATTTCGAATTGGATTTACAGAAATAATCAGCATGTTTAACTCTGCATCACAGTCCAAAGGCAAATGGTCCACTGAAAGCTTGGTCACTGAAGGGAAGACTTACAGAATCAAAATATCCTGGAGCATTGCTGCTGTGGGGGAAAATAGAACTATGACCAAACTAATAAATTCAGAGTAAATTAAAGAAATAACGTTGGAATTATTTTTGTTTAGAATAACTTTGATATTTGGGAGACAGAAACTGAAGATGGGAAATAAAGAAAACAAAACACATATAGATGTGATTCGGCACACCGTACCTACATCCACGTATCAAAAAGAATGTAGCGATGTATTATTATTATCTTGTAATATGGTAATTGGTAACATCGAACCCAAACTTATATTTAGGGAGAGAAACTAATAAGATAAGATAAAATAAATCATCTATGCTTACCCCAAATAATTTGGACTATGTAGAATTTCAATAAATCCTATCACATGCCTAATAAACTCAGTCATATCATATTAGAATAGAAAACTTTAAATTTGTTTATCCGATATGGGTTTTTCACATCTGATTTCCCAACACATAACTATAACCCTTTGATGTATCTCCATAACATATAGTTCTTAATGCAGAGATCAAATTGTTAATTTTCCTGATAAACAACAAAAATGGCTACATGGACAAATTCCAATAGAATACTTTAGTAAATCAAAGGGAAAACTGCTACATTTACCTATTCTTCAACCTAGAGGTAGAGATGACCTGGATTCACCATTCTCCGATGTCCCAGTTGAACAAGTAAACTATCCACAGCTGGATAAAATCAACAACTAAGTAGTTTTGTATATAACAACGTGTGACATTCTTGGATTGATTACTACAATATCAAATAAATTGTAGTTGACCAGCAACTTTTCAATAAGATGAGCGCTGCGCATATTAGTCTTTGTAACCTAAAAAGGGTAACTGTTCAACAAAATCATTTGATTTCTCAAACAACAGCGGATATGAGAAATATTTACAGTATTTCATCACGAAAAAGGACCAATCATCGAAGTCTAATTCGACATAGAAACTGAATAATTTTGAAGTTCCACTTTGCAAAAAAGAAAGGGCTTTTTGAAAATAATGTATATCCGTTTTTTTCATTACTAAGAAAAGATGAAAAAAAAAGTTGTGAATAAACGTTTATGTACAGCAAAAGACAATGAGCTGCCGAGGATGAGACTTTACCACCGCCGTGCCTATATTGGAGAGGAAATTATCAGAACGACGGACGCTGGGCTCAAGAGAGTTTGTCAGCCCCCTATATATTGGTACTACACTGGACTTCCTGGCCATAGAAGTTCGTACTTTTTTGGGACCCAAACATAATAATGTATAGATTAATTTATTTTCAAAAAAACCCCTTTTATTTTTTAAATTTTCACTAACACCCCCTAACCTAACTTTACCGGACCACCCAAAAAATGCTAATGTCATTCTAGGTTATTTTCAAATTACCCATGTCTCTTTCACCCGGCCTCCGTCTCCATATGATACGAGATTAATTCATTCCATTTCAGTGACATAGACTCATAAAGATTAGTCAGTTTTGGACTCGAACATATAAATGATACGATTTGTTATCACGAATAATAAATAAGTCAAGTTAATGAATATTTAAAAGATAGAGGAGTGTCTTTTAAGATAAGGTAATCTAAAAACTAAAAAAAGTGTATACGAAATTTTTGCTAACTCTTTATCATGAATGACAATTTATGCCTCAAGAGGTTTTGAAATTTCGAATTTCGTNTAGAGATGACCTGGATTCACCATTCTCCGATGTCCCAGTTGAACAAGTAAACTATCCACAGCTGGATAAAATCAACAACTAAGTAGTTTTGTATATAACAACGTGTGACATTCTTGGATTGATTACTACNTAGAGATGACCTGGATTCACCATTCTCCGATGTCCCAGTTGAACAAGTAAACTATCTACAGCTGGATAAAATCAACAACTAAGTAGTTTTGTATATAACAACGTGTGACATTCTTGGATTGATTACTGCAATATCAAATAAATTGTAGTTGACCAGCAACTTTTCAATAAGATGAGCGCTGCGCATATTAGTCTTTGTAACCTAAAAAGGGTAACTGTTCAACAAAATCATTTGATTTCTCAAACAACAGCGGATATGAGAAATATTTACAGTATTTCATCACGAAAAAGGACCAATCATCGAAGTCTAATTCGACATAGAAACTGAATAATTTTGAAGTTCCACTTTGCAAAAAAGAAAGGGCTTTTTGAAAATAATGTATATCCGTTTTTTTCATTACTAAGAAAAGATGAAAAAAAAAGTTGTGAATAAACGTTTATGTACAGCAAAAGACAATGAGCTGCCGAGGATGAGACTTTACCACCGCCGTGCCTATATTGGAGAGGAAATTATCAGAACGACGGACGCTGGGCTCAAGAGAGTTTGTCAGCCCCCTATATATTGGTACTACACTGGACTTCCTGGCCATAGAAGTTCGTACTTTTTTGGGACCCAAACATAATAATGTATAGATTAATTTATTTTCAAAAAAACCCCTTTTATTTTTTAAATTTTCACTAACACCCCCTAACCTAACTTTACCGGACCACCCAAAAAATGCTAATGTCATTCTAGGTTATTTTCAAATTACCCATGTCTCTTTCACCCGTCCTCCGTCTCTATATGATACGAGATTAATTCATTCCATTTCAGTGACTTAGACTCATAAAGATTAGTCAATTTTGGACTCGAACATATAAATGATACGATTTGTTATCACAAATAATAAATAAGTCAAGTTAATGAATATTTAAAAGATAGATGAGTGTCTTTTAAGATAAGATAATCTAAAAACTAAAAAAAGTGTATATGAAATTTTTGCTAACTCTTTATCATGAATGACAATTTATGCCTCAAGAGGTTTTGAAATTTCGAATTTCATATCTTCAAATTTCATAAATTCTTCTTTAGCCTATTAATGTCATTAAATGGGTAAAGTATGACTCAAGAAACTATTGCTTTTGATTTCGTCTAATATTTCATGATTTGAAAAATACAAAACCTAATTAGGGCCTTCGTGAAAAAAATTCAAGATCAAGATGGTTTTGAACATTATAAGTGGCATAATAGGAATTAATATGTGGACATTTCTGACATTTAGTCTCAGCAAGATACGACGCGACATGGGATTTCACACATGCTTCTTCTTATCGATGTGTGAAAACATTAGTTCAGATGAGTTCCTGATTTTACAAGAAATGACACAAAGACCTATGAATTAATGTAGGAAACCCTCCATAACCCCAACACCAAATCTACAAGTAACCGCAATTTCTAAGAGTAGGTTTGACGTCATATTATACCATGAGATGTGTTTGGGTGGTTGAAAGTTACGATACATAATCACTGAACTCGAGGGACAACAAATAGAGTTCGAGAGCATAGTTGGTACGAGTCTAAAAATTCTAAAAGGGCAAAAATGACTTGCCACATCCTTTGAGATAAAAAAATTTGACAAAAAATCTTGATCAGTATAATGTTATTGTTTTGTTCATGAAATCGACTATTAATATTTTAAATTTTCACTATTATTTACTCCAATTAAAGTCAACATTTAAAATTTTGCATGATCAAGAGAATCTGGATCAGGGTGGTCCTTTTCAAGTTTGATTTTAAGTTGTTCGTATTGTCAATAACACCCAAACCTAACTCCTGAAGAAAGTGGAAATCAAATGGGACACAAGCAGTTGAGAGATCCTTATTTGCTTGACTTTTTCTTCCATATCTCCACCGCCTAAAGTACAGTTTTTCCATATATATGGAAACAAAACGTCAAAGTTTATCAAGTCTCCTCTCTCTCACTATTTCATTGAAGTTTCTGCTGATCACACAACCGTTCTTTTGTCATTCAAATACAAAGAGTCGGCTGGGGTTGATTGAAGTTTCTAAATCTCTATCAGAAGAATGGGAAATCTCTGCAGTACTATATTTGCTGGTAAAGGGTATTGTTCACTTCTTTCTTTTTTCCAAGTTTTGAAGCATATAGCTAGCTTCTTGTTCTTGCTGGTAATACCATTGATGGAGATTGAGAATTCAAAATGACTTGGGTTTGTTGAGGTTTAACAGAAGAAAAATGAAGGCGAAGCGAAAACTACTGGCTGTGGCTAACAATGAAACTGCAACACATGAGGGGATCAAGACTGTTGGAGTTGATAATCGTTGCGATTTCTCCAGCAGTTCAGATGTTTGCATTTGCATAGTGACTTGGAACATGAATGGACAGGTGACTCTTTGATTCTCATTTACGGGTCTTTTGTAGTAAATCTACCATAGTTTAAAGCATCGGTAGATCTGAACACGACTAGCTACGCTGAGTCATATCCCATTTCACACATTCTGTTCTTCACTCAACTCGTGAATGATTACCACAACATGGTCTCGGTCTCTGGCCATGTCTAGCTTGCATGTTCTTCTATCTAGTATGTCCTTTCTCCTTTGTAATACCGTGATTGACATACAGTGTCTCAGTGGTTTACAAGCTTAGTTACAAGTTGATGACATTGGCACCTATAGCAAAAGTTGCTTTTTTTGGACCACATCTGCTGTTTATATTGATTTCTTGTGTGATAATAATAAAGGTCTGTTATGAAGATATAGAGAAGCTGGTTGGCAGAGAAGGGAAGATTGATCTGCTGGTGATTGGTCTGCAAGAGGTGCCAAGGGACAACATTTCTCAATTATTGCAGAAGGCTCTGGTTGATACCCACATGTAAGGGACCATTTCTCTTTCTTCTTTGGTTCTGTTTACATTTTTCCCAGTTGTTTCTCTTTGGATTTCAAGTTGATGGATTTGTGGTGCTCACTTTTAAGATTTTCTATTTATGTAAGCACAGCCAATTAGGGTTTTTTGGATGAAACCTGTTGAGATGTCGAACGCATCTCACATCGATTGGTGATGAGGGGATCCTGAACCATATAAGTGAGCAGGTCACCCCACCTGCTAGGTACGCCTTTTTGGGTTGGAAACCCATGTCCAACAAGGCCTTAACTTGATGGGTGCACATTAGCCATCAAGGTTGGAAGTATTTTCAGTTCATTCATGGAACTTAAAACTAGCTGGAAGAATCAAGAAAACTCCATTTATATATGATATGGACCCTTCACTCAGAGAAGACAATTTATATCACCATCAACCATGACAGTTCATATATTCCTATCTGTTCTGCAACAAATGGAATTGGGTGTTGGGAATTTGGGATATTATATGTGGGAATCTGTATAGAAGAAAAAGGAAGTAAAAGCGTTATGAATGAACTAGCTATTTATGGGGCATGTTTGGATGGTTTTGGGGTGAGGGATTAGATTGGTTTTATCAAATTCTTTCAAACTCAATCTCCATCTTTGTGTATATGGGATTCATACATGAATTCTATCAATAACCGTGTTTGATAAATAGTATATGCACATGTGAGACGTACAAATTTATAACTATTATCACAATATATTTGTCCTGTAAATAATTATATCACCTATTGGTTAATCTAGTCCAAACTCATGTTTATTTAAGTACACAGAGAAATAAAGAGGAGTTGAGATGTAATTTGGTAAATAGAATATTTTATTAGGAGTAGAGGGGTCATTTGACATAGTTAACTTGGGCTAATGAATATGAAATCCATCCATCTCTGGTTTGTCCAACCCTATGTACGTGGGTTTAATGCGTTGGGCCACTTACGGTTAAGTTATGAATCCTGAATTTAAAAGTTTCGACCAAACACAGAATTTCGGGGTTTATCGAACTATTTTTCTTAAACTCCCCCTTCCAAACCCGATAAACAAATAGGCCATGATGTTCAAGTAGTAAAGCTATTCCATTAAAAAGTTGCCTCTAAATTCAACAATTTGACTTTTTTGGAATTGTACAAACCCAATCTGATTGTTACTGTGTCTTGTTTAATTTTCCATTGCAAATTTGAAGTCTGCTAGGAAAAGCTGTCATGCAATCACTGCAGTTGTATGTGTATGGACCAAAGAACTCAGACTTGTTCATCACAGGTAAGCCTTTATTTTCTACATTTTCGTTTCATTTTTAGCTAAGGTTTGAGATATATAGATGCATCACTGTCTATGTCTTTTATCCGAATTCATGGTCTATAGAGCTAAAGGTGGACAGGCATGCTGTTGGGGGCTTTGGAGGATTAATTAGGAGAAAGAAAGGGGCTGTGGCTGTGAGAATTAATTACAAAGGAATCCACATGGTGTTCATCTCTTGCCATCTCTCTGGTAAGTCCATTCATATTGTTCACTTGGTCAATCCTGTTCAAATTCTGGAAAAAAGCCCAGATAGCAGAAGAATCATCTGAAGGATTTGTTACTATATATCTCCTGTCTATGTTTCGATAGTCGGATCAAGCTGAAAATAATTACAGCAAAAAACACAATGAACAATTTTTGAGCTCCTGTTTATAATAACTATTCCTTTTGTCCCTCTGTATATGCAGCTCATGCTCACAATGTAGAAGAGAGGAATGCTCAAAGCAGACACATATCACACTCACTCTTCTCCAAGAACAGGAACCCCTATGCCAGGTCTGCCCAAATTACTGTATGGTTAGGAGATCTTAACTACAGATTACAAGGGATCAATACATTCCCAGCCCGAAATCTAATAAAGAATAACCTTCACCAAGTAAGTTCAACATATTTCAGAGGTTATAGACAATACTAGTTTTAAGTTGCAAAATTTCTAAGGGAACTGTGTTAAATGGATTTTGCTGCATTTTCTTTGACCACTGTAGTTACTCACCGGCAAAGATCAGCTTTTACAAGAGGCTGAAAGAGGGCAAATTTTCAATGGATACTGTGAGGGAACTTTGGCATTCAAACCAACATACAAATATGATGTAGGAAGCAGTGACTATGATACAAGTTACAAGGTATCCTCTGTCCTCCTTATTCCTCTAAAAAAAAAAAAAACAATATGTTGATTATACAGTTGGGAGATTTTATATTAAATATATCCTCCGGTGTACTTTTTCTCAATTTCGTCCAATGTAGATTATGCGCAGTGTAAGGGTGTGAGACTCGCCATGGTGGTTGATAATTCAGACTAATTTTTTTCCATGCTAGTGTATGTATTGTCCTGTTTTCCAGTTGATCTACACTAAATTTGCTTCCATACATATTTCCTCTTCACAGGTTCGGGTACCATCATGGACAGACAGAATTTTGTTCAAGATAGATGATCTGGATGAGATCGATGCAACGTTGCACTCTTATGAATCTATGGACCTAATCGACAGTTCCGACCATAAACCAGTGAAAGCACACCTCTGCTTAAAAGTTAATAAAACAGTCGAGCAATGAAGCAGATAAATACAAGAACAAATTAGCATTAATCTCAGTTTTTCAGGTTCTTTCAAGCCATTATTCACCAGTGCCCGAGGTAACACTGAATGAGACTTGCTACTGATTAACAATGTTGAATCCTTAGTCACCCCCACCCCACCCCAACCCAATATAGCAATCTGTTTTTCGATGTACATACAGTCAAGCCCAAAATGCAATTTTTCATTGGTTCGTTTTTTTTCCTCCATGTGTATTATCCTATGTGATTAGCGACGATTAATTGAGATTTTTCTTATCTGTCACTCTCTTATTCATACGTATCCATCGAAAAGGAAATAGATTAATTGAAGGGTTATTCACATAATTCCCCCTTTGATGTTTATCTTCTCTGTGATGTAAGCTGGTTACATTTTTTAATCATGCAACCATTTGAAAATGTAGCCCGGGAGTAATAGTGATATTTAATCGTATACCGTATATTGGTGGGGACCCACTTATGTAGAATGGATCTCGTTTAATTTACGATGAATGATTACTACAATGGAGAGAAGCTAGAAAAAAAAATGATCAATGACACATTCCTTAAACTCATTCAAAATGGCAATGCAAGAAAATTATGACTAAATAATGTGACATTATTAAATGAAGTAAGCGTATTGTGGGCCATCTTTTAGGATGCCGTGCAAAGTTACTAATAAATGAGGTCTAAAAATTTCGAATTGATTCTAATTTTTAGGGTGATCCTCAAGTTTTTAACTCGGCGTTAACTTAATTTGAACAAGTCTTAACTTGACCCATTTGAATCGTAATTTAATCTAATTGTGTTGTGACTATNTTATTAAATGAAGTAAGCGTATTGTGGGCCATCTTTTAGGATGCCGTGCAAAGTTATTAATAAATGAGGTCTAAAAATTTAGAATTCATTCTAATTTTTAGGATGATCCTCAAGTTTTTAACTCGGTGTTAACTTAATTTGAACAAGTCTTAACTTGACCCATTTGAATCGTAATTTAATCTAATTGTGTTGTGACTATTCAGTACTGTAAACAAATATGTGGAATCGAAATTCTGTCACTCTTTCCAGATTACAGCATATAATACCTAATTCGAAGGTACAAGCTCTCCCATATCTGAATCGAACTATGCTTTAAACAACAAAGGATCAAGGGGGGGGATAACGTGCTGTCTGAGAAGCTTCGCTGTCTTGGGTTAAATATGTCCCAAANAGCTCTCCCATATCTGAATCGAACTATGCTTTAAACAACAAAGGATCAAGGGGGGGATAACGTGCTGTCTGAGAAGCTTCGCTGTCTTGGGTTAAATATGTCCCAGAAAAGAAAAGAAAATGAAGGTAGTTCTACTGCCAGACCACTTGAGTACGAGAGAAAATTTCTTTAAACCTTGTAGTAGCATAAAAAAGGTTGCCTCATAACACTGCAACAACGCTCAAGGTATGTATATCAAACAAAAACAACAAAAAGTTTTTTATTTTATTTTATTTTACTAATTCATATCCAACAAAATAGTTAAAAGTAAAGAGCAGAAAGAAAATTTTCAAAAATTAATCTCACTTAAACTTCAACTTTTTGTACTGTCAAACAATTTGATTTAGTTTAGCGCTTGACATGAGTAAGTTTGGTGATATTGACCGTGGAATTGAGATTGAAAGTGGGTAGTTCGGAGGTCATGATTTCAGATACTGTAGAGGAGACTGTTGTAGACATATTTTAGGATGTATGTCATAAAAACTTTTATATACTTTAGATTTAGAAAGAGTATTTTTTTTCTTGGTTGATTCGATGTACAAGCCCTTCTAATTTATTTAAGGAGAGATGTAACAAACTTTACAAATGTGCAGCTAAAGTTTGACTGAATTCAAATTGTTCAAGTAACAACCTAGAGTCGTAGGATTTCATCTTCTCAACAGAAGACTTGGTCTCCTCTTGTTCTGGAGAATCACTTTTTTGAAATTAAATTTTTTTTCGAGCATTTAACACTTAAAATATAACATTTAATTTTTAATTTTCAAACATTGCAATCAAGTGTCGAACATCAAAAGACATAAATTCATCACAAACTAACTGGAGCATGGTTACAATTATTTCGCATATCAAAACTCTTCTCTCACTACATGTGGATTGGGACATGTCTCATTCATACCGGGAATCCAATAAAACTGCACACAGACTAGCTAAATGAGGACTTAGTATGCACTATGGGGGCCTACTCCAAGCAGAGGAACTACCCAACTGGTTAGACAAAAAGTGACGAAAGACAGTGCAACCCAGGCCTTCACAAGGAGTAGAATAGAAGCATTATAGTACCTAGAATTTTATTAGTTCAATCTCTATCTTGTATCTCTCTTCTTCAACCAGCAAAAAAAAAACTGGATTAAGAATCATACCAACAGTCATGGTCATAGGGGAAGAAGTAAGCTGCTGAGAATTCTTTGATCTTCTAGCAAATTGCCATACAAATAATTTACAATGATATCTAGTTAAGTTTGAGTTTCTTTAGCACATGCAAAATAACATTTACCCTCTTGTTCTCTTATGACTCTTAAAGCCCTGAAGATTAAAATAGCCAAACTTCAACAAGAAAATGACCAGAACAATTATCCTATACAATTACCATCCATCTCAAACAACAATCTATCATATTAATACTACTAACTTACACAATTCTTGCCCTTTGGGCCTCCAAGCATCCGAAATATATAGGCAGGAAATTGTTAATGACATAGCGCTCCTGATAGAAAATGACGACCTGCTTTGCTTAATCTGAATACTTATCCGTATGTTTTATATTCCTATTCAGAGCGGGCTCTTCTTTGGTACATTTTCGGTGTGCCGAAGTCCCAGAGTGAGGGACACTTCACCTGCCGAAGTCCCAAGCCTAACAAGCGAGGACGCCATGTTTACACCTGCAGTGGTTCAATGGCAACACTATATGTTATTGTCAAGCACAGATATCGGGTTCATGAGTGGCAGTAAATCATAAACTGTCAATCTTACTTGAAATTGACACAAAGTTTGTGGTATTCATTTAATTTTCATGTAATACACAGGTTAATACGTAAAAACCTCTTAAGAAAACAAATTCTATGAACTCGATAAACTTATTTTTGAACACAACCCGAATCAACACAATTAATGAATATAATTCTATTTTAATGAGTTTTGGTTATAAACATGTTAACCTCTTAGACCCTTTTAACAAATAAGTTGACACAAACCCTAATATATGGTGACTCGTGGATAATACAATAAAGACACCACATAAATTCTGAATTATGAACTTGACTATGATAACAAAAAATAAAATTTTAGTATCATACCTCTATTTATCATAATTGTGATTGTTTTTAATATATTTGTGGGTATTTTTACCATTTTTGTGGTACCAAAAATATTGTAAAAGTAAGTTTCATAACAATGTTAAAAAAATTCACAAATGTGATAAAATACTCACAAAAATGGTATTTTTTTTTATATGAAAAAAAATTGATAAAAATAATTACCATAAATGTGATAAAAACACTCATAACAATAATAACCATAAAAGTGATAATTTTTTTAAATTTCATAAAAATTATAAAAACACTCTTTAAAATAATAAATTTTAGTCAAATCCCTGAATTATATAGCACTATAATACACCATAAATGTCATGCAGGGGAGATGGTAGTGATACCCTGGATCATATGTTGGTTTCCCAAGAAGTTCTGCCTATAATTGATGGTGTTCTTTGAATGGTCCTTGTCTGGTGCACTGATGTGGGATCTTTTGCCTGCTGACAATGGTATTGATGTTGTAGTATCACACATTGGCTTTTGTGCAGAGATGCTGTATTGGTAGTGATCTTCTTGAGAGTTGGGTTCATTAGCTTCTTTTGCTGAAGCCTCTTGATCTTCTTTGGCCTCTTCTTGGTACATGTCCTCCACCATGGGTTTCCACAACCGAACCCTGGCATTAATGAACCAGTTCGATACCTGAAAACGGGAAAATTTATTGTGTTTAGAAAGATGATAACAAAGTGGATGAGTCCCATGCAAGAAAGATATAAATGCTACTTACTGATCCTATTTGTCCTCTACAGTGCTGAATGTTTTTTTTTTTATCAATCTTATGAAAATTTAATTTGTTAACCTAATTTATTATAATTTTTAAATTGACTGTAAATTTTATTAAACATTAAAATTTAATGTTAATCTAATGATTTCAATGACTCTACATCATTATATCAACAAATTAGATTACAATGTTAAATTCAAATAACATTACTCTTTCTTTTTTCAAATCCATAATGCAAGTTATATAACTAGAGTTGAAGTAAATTATGATCTATCAAAGTATTGCCACTAGACTAATATAGGATCTCATTCTTTGTTAACATTCATCATTAATTTTTCTTTCTTGCTCATACACTATGAGAAGGGAGGGGGACAACGAGGTTCGCATCCATGTTGCAAAGACCCAATAGTAGAGACGGTGATTATTCTAACCATGACTCAAATTTTTACTTAAATTTAAATTAACATTTGAATAAAAAATTTGATTTAATATAAAAAATTTCAATGGACAAATTAAAATTTAAAAAATGAGAGATTTAACTTTAAATGAAGGTAAACTCAAATTTAAAAGAGAGTAAGGATGACCATTAGATTTTTAAAAGATGGAAAAATCTCATTATTAAAGATTTGAGTAATAACTTGAATCTTCCTTGATTTTTGTAAAAAAATAAGTTTTCTTTGATTTGGTATAAGTTTGAGTTAAGAATTGGAACAAGTTTTTTAGACTTTTTTACTCAAATTTAAATTTAAGTTTAAATTTGAGTAAGGGTCGGAGATGCCCTTGGGCCAATGGCTAACCTTTAACTCATTATTAATTCAAGGATGGTGATAATATTATATCAATAAATACTAACATCATTTGATCTGTCTAAGATAAGATGACTCTCCTTTTACTCTTCTGCCCATGAACCAAGTTTCCGACAACAGCTTACATATTATAGTAGCACTGAGGGAGGAAATATATATATATTGATACTAATGTGTGGTGTTCAATTTACTACTGCAACAATTCAATAATAACCAATAGGGTTGGAATTGTATCACATGGCCTGAGACCAGCTTCAATTGCTACTGAAAGTTGTTCAACGGATCAGTAAGAACTTGAAAGAGACATTGTGAATTCAACGATAGTGATCAATAAATTCAACGAACTAAGATCATTACACCAAGCATTAATACCCTTTTTCTAGCATTTTTCATAATTTCTTCTCGTCACAATCAACCTAGCCACCTCGCCTCAAAATTGTAAAACTGGTTAAACTGACAAAAAAATTAATTCAAAAATAGAGACAGAATGATTTAACACTAATATGACGAGAGAAGTTGAATTATGAATGAATGATAAGATAAAAAATAGTATAATTTCAGTTCTCAATGTACTGGTTCACCATTTTCGGCCAAAGGTAACAAATACGTAAAGGTATCGTTTCAAAAAAAGTAAACTTAGAGATTGCATACATTAAAAGGTGAATTGAGTTTTCTCTTTCAAGGGACATATGACCTAACAATTTTAATGTCAAAAGAAGAAATGTGAGTACCTGACTTTTGGACAAACTAGTCTGTCGAGACAACAAATGCTTGTCTGCTTCGCTTGGGTACCTGCCGCAAGCCACAAAATATGACGTTATAGGACCTCCTCGCTCCATTTCCGTATTGAACAATACATTTTTCGGAAAGATAAATGTTATTGGAATCTAATTTGTGGCTTCATTAAATATTAAAATTTGATGTTGATTTAATAATTCACTAAAATTATTTCATTATATTAACAAATTAAGTCAAATTTTTAGATCTAAATACCTTTAATCTTCTTGAAAGAGCTTGAGTGAAGAGATAAAGACAAGGATCTTTTCTCAGTAAATTTTACACTAGGGTATTTACTATCATCATGTTTAATGCATGTAATCTTGAAGCTTTAATTTGCTTGCATGGTAGTCAACAGTTGATGAGTTCTTGAAACGTTTTCGGGGTAAATACCTCAAACAAAGTCAGTTTTGGGTTTCAAGTAGTGATCTTTTCAAGCATAATAATTGTATAAACTTTGTGTATGTGTGTGTAAAGAGAGAGAGAGAGAGAGAGAGAGAGTGTACGGGTGAAGAAAATGCTCAAAAAGCCAGGCTCTCAATATGTTAACAGAACGCTCAGGCAAGCCTCTCTGGGGCCTCCAAGCTTCAGGCTCCAACATTCCCATTTGCTGAATGGCTCTCTGCTGCCTCAACTGCTGCTCAAGCAGCCGAAGTCTGGGTGTCTCTCCTTTCGTCAAGCCGAATGTACCTGTCACATCTTTCTCTCCAAGAAGCTCACAAGTAAGCTTCAATTGAGCCACTATTGCATCCTTGGTGCAGCGAAAATGCCTTGACATTGCCTTCTGGGCAAGGGCTGTGTATGGAACTGCAGCCCCAAAACCCATCACTGAATCGAACGAGTTAACCATTATTTGCATTTGTTCACAGTAACGGTTGTACCGCAAACTCACCTGTTAAGGATGAAAACATACTCAAAACTGCCAGAATAGGCTCAAAGATAAAGGCTTACGCTCAAGCTCAGAGCAATTTGTTACGAACTTTGTATTGTATTTGTATACCAACTCTATTCACATGTGTGGTTCGAACTAAAACATCTAAATTCTTACTCATTTCGGCATTAGCAAAAAGTGAAAAATAAGTAATTCTTGCATTTTAGTTGAAGAAATTGAAGAACTAAAGTATTAAACGGACCCTCAAAGCTCCATTTGTCTCCTTTCTATGGGAAAGGAAAAAAAATATTTATTATCTTCACCTGCGAAATTAGGTGTGTGAAACCCTAGTTTCTTGACAGAATCTTGTAGTGTATTTTATCTTTGTAGTGGGAAAAATATGTCATAGGATCATGGGCATCAACTGGCAAAAAAGTAGAAGCAGGAAGGTTAATTTTTAAAGTTTTCTGAAAAATATAGGTTTTCTTACCAACTCTCTTTGCTTCTTTAACCAAAGCATGCCAGAATCCATGGTACTATTATGCAAGGAGGAGAAGAGTTATAAACTTATACCAATAATTGAACAATTTTATAGTATAAGAATGGTATTAAAAAATAAAGCAGTGAATCGGAGAGAGAAATGGTCCCCAAGTAGAGGCAAATAGAAATCGTTTGCTTTCTTAGTAGAATTTCTATGATTCGCACGGATGGATCTGCTGCTCAGAAGCCTTATTACTAATGGCTTCCACCCTATAATGGAGGCATGTCGGTCCTTGCTGGACATGTACCCTCAGGTTGAAGCCTCTCATGTTCTCTAAAGGAACATCCAAACTGTACACACTCGAAAATCATGATTACTGGATTAATAAACAGTGAAATGATTAATGTGATTGATTTGTTTAAGACGGAATCTCATATTATGAGCTTGCTTTCTCAATTCTTGCAAATTGAAATGCAAAAAGTTCAACTTTCTTGATCCGGTGGTCTGTGTGCATTAGTGAGCATGTGCTTCGGAAAGAGAGAGAGAGAGAGAGACTTGCCTCGTCAAGCATAGACAACAGTTTGACCTTTTTCCTCTGGTATTCAGACTTTGCAGTAGCTGATAATGGTGGGTGGTCCTTCAATGAAGTAACGGCTGAAGAAGCACCACTATGATTGTCTAAATTAGAATTATGGGTTCTGTTATGCTTCTTGAGAGTCTGATTTTTGAAGTGGCCCCTTCCAACACAGCAGAACTCTTCCAGCAATTCCTGAACAGCCTTCAAATACCTAGAATTTCTCAAACCATTCTCAGTTCTCTGAGTTGCTGCAAACCCAACTAGAACTTGAGAATTGTGTTCTCTAATTCCTTGTGAATGTAATAGTTGTTGATTAATCTCCAAGTTCTTTGATTCATATGGATTCATAGAAGGCCCCTCTCCATGATTACAGAAGAAAATCCCATTATTTCCCACCCTCAATTCCTCTAGTTTTGCAGCAGCTTCCAAGTTCTGTAATGAAGACGATAATGACAGAGAAAGACCTTGACCCTCCACTAACCTTCCACAGCTGCTACCAGGACCCCAAGAGAGTTGAGCCGGACGGTTCATGCTGGCTGTAACATCTGAACCTACCAAGTGAAACCCTTGAAGCTGAGAGTCTGATGAGTTTGGGAATAACAAGTTCAGAGAAGATGATGTACCGGAAGGAGAAGATGATTTGACTTGAGTGTTCATGGAAGAAAACTGCATAGAATTTGTTGATGAGACTGAATTAATGCTCAAAAACTGATGATTACTCACTATATTACCACAATCATTATCATCAACATGTTCCACTTCCCCCAAAATGGCTACCTCAGCCTCATTTGCTACTGTTTGTAGCTGTTTTGGTGGCCATTTATAATATGGATTGATCTGATCATTGAAGATGTCGGCGGTGGCTACAGGCCAGGATGGGAAGTTGATGACCTGAGAAAGCATTCCGCCGGTGTCATATACCAGCAAATTGCCGGAAACTTCCTCTTGTAGAGGCTCTGGTGGGTCGAAGCCTTGCACTCTTAACATTTCCTTCTGGTTACTGCCTCCTATGTGCTTTGTCACCACAAATCTTTCATGCCCCTTTGAAGATTTGATGTGTTAGTGGAAGCTTTGGGACATAGAATTTGAAGAAGAAACACCTTTTCGATTTGGACTTCAACGTGCTGGTGATTTCAGTTGTAGAGTTGGCCTTTTTGGTGAGACAACAAATTGCAGGATGGTTTAGAACTTTAGATAGATTAAAGAAGGAATGAAATGTTAAACAAGAAAGAGATTTTGCAGAATAGATCAACATAGGTGTAGATTCAAAATCTTTAAAACTTGAGATGAAGTATAGATGGATTGTTTGAATGGATCTGATTGTTGTTCTTTTTTAATTGTTCTTTTTTTTTCTTTTTTCATTTTTTGATGGCTAGTTTGGTAGTTGATATTTACCTGGTTATGGCTGTAAAGCTGGGACTGAAGCTGAAGAACTCAGAAAACATCCTTTTTTCTGAGTGTTATAGAGAACTACTATCTCTTCATCTGTTGATCTTTGATTCATCTTTCATATCGCCTTCACAGAACTGTGAACTGAATTCACAATCGGACAACAAACAAGCCAGTGAGATGGGGATAACGAAAGGGGAAGGAGAGAATAAAGGTCCCCTCTTAACTCTTCCTCTTCACTTCCTCCTCCACTTTCACCCTACTTTCCTTATAATATGAGGACATATTTTTGGAATTATTCAAAAATTACCCAAAAAAAAGTTAGTGATAGTCACTCTCAACGGCTGGGAATTTTCTAAGGATGCCTAACTAAGATGTAAAAAAGAATATAAATTATGGGATATTGATGTAGGGAAGTGGAAAAAAGCAAAGGTATAACAAATTAAAAGCGAAAATGAAAATAAATCGTTGATTTACACATAAATACCGATTTAAATTTTTACTTTAGGCTTGTTGATTCACAAATAATATCAGTTCTAAAAGTTTTAATAACTCTGTTAATTCCAAAGAATATCAGAAAAATTGAGAAGAAAAAAAAACAATCAAATAAAATAAAATCCTAAATAAATTAAGAAATTGAATAAAATAAAATTTTAAAATTGAATTGAATAAAATAAAATAAAATAAAATATTTTAGAATTTCATTATTGAATGGAATTGACCACGTTCAATAGATTACCAAAATTATTGTCACCCATACCCGTTTGACCTGCCCGATCCTCCTTAATATCGATCCTAGTGATCCAAGTATTGTGTTGTGATATAATCTGCATCAGATGTGTTAAAAGAACTAAAAAATTGATATAATTTATTAACTTAATGACGTAGTGTATAGTAAATTCTCGAAAAAAAAGTGTAAAAATTATAGTTAGAATAATAATATTAGACTTATATAACGGTCACGTCAATAAATTAAATTAATTTTTAAAATAATATTACTAATAAATTATTTTTGTACGGTGGTAGAGCCTCTGGTACCATGAGATGAAAAAATTCAAGAGCCATCACATTACTTCTGGAACCAATGATCTTGACAGCCCACAAGCAGTTCAGGTGACTTGTAGAATTTGACTAGTTTAGTCTTGAGGTGAAACTATGATTGGGGGTACAAGTCATGGAGGGGTTTTAGGTGAAAATCATGTCATTGTCAGTTGGAGTAGAGGCATGATGGCTTCCAAACCAATATGCATGCCCGAATATATTGTTTTTAGGAGTTCAGAGTGCTCTCCAACCTTAGTGTCGCTAACTCCATATCATGCATACACATCCAGATCAAAAAAGGGATAAAAAAAAACTGTCATGCATACTTACGGTTTTCTACTTTACTGGTAAGATTCGTATTAAAACCTTAGGACATGTCTACGGTCAAAAAAAAAAAAAATTTTTGGTATCAGGTCAATTTTTATAATATTTATAAGTATTTTTATAATATTTATACGTATTTTTATCATTTATATGATACTAAAAAAAGTGACAAAATAGTTATCATAACAGTGACAAAAATATTTAAAATAGTGGTAAAAATACACAAATGTGATCAATTACTCATAAAAATGATATATTTTTTTGTATCCAAGAAAAATGGTAAAAATAGTTACCATAAATATAATAAATTTTTTTATTATAAAATGACCCACAAAAATTATAAAAATATCACTAATTAAAATAGTAAAATTTTAAAGTACAAATTTTTTTTAGGTACCGTAGTCAAGTCCTAAAACCTTGAGTGGCTTTATAATTGGTGAATATGGATTTATTTTTATTTTTATTTTTATTTTGAACCCCAAGAAAAACGAGGAAAAGATTCTTGGAGTTGTGAGTTTTTTTTTTCCCGGAAAATAAATAATTTGTGTTGATTATAACCCTATGATGTATGGGTTCCAATCAAGTGAGGCATGGCCATTCCAAACTACATTAGGCTTGGTCTTGAGTCAGTACTTCCAACTAAACCCTATCTTAATAGAGATTTAGGCGGCAAAATATATGGGAAACATGACCAGTAACTGCGCCCAAAGAATGTGCATTCAAGCATCCTGTTGGTAATTGCCATGGCTGTCCCTTTAGGTCATCTGATTATTAGCAATGTTGGGTGTTGGATCGTTGCTGTAAAAATTATGTTTTTTTTTTAAAGAGACAGAGAGAGAGACCACAAGCTGTAAAAAAATTTAAATGAAGATTTTCATGTTCTATTTTTGGAAAATAATTGCCAAAAAAACCTTCCAAAAATATTAGACACAAACATTACCAAAAAAAAAAAAAAACCCTTCATTGTGGTGTTCTATACATATGCATATATATATATACTGATATTTATGCAAAACTAGTAATGCACCATTTATGTTGCACGTAAACAAGTTAAATAATTTTTTTTTATAGAAAATGTAAATAATATGTTTATTTAAATTAAATAATAATTTAGGTATCGAATAATTTATTTGTATTTTAATTATTGCTAAATTAGATGGTTGATTTATTCTATAAGTCTTTGAGTACCTAACTTAACTTGTCATTTATTTAAGTATCTTTTCGACCCCTTTAGGCATTTGCATATCTAATTATGTTATAAAATTATTAAAATTTTTGTTAAATATTGATTAGATAGCTTATTATATTATTATACACTAAAAAGTTAAATATAATATATATTTGACCATGAAAATTAATCTAATAACTACATGTGTATAATAATTTAATATAACTAAGACTTTATTTTTAGAGAGAGAGAGAGAGACTTGCCTCGTCAAGCATAGACAACAGTTTGACCTTTTTCCTCTGGTATTCAGACTTTGCAGTAGCTGATAATGGTGGGTGGTCCTTCAATGAAGTAACGGCTGAAGAAGCACCACTATGATTGTCTAAATTAGAATTATGGGTTCTGTTATGCTTCTTGAGAGTCTGATTTTTGAAGTGGCCCCTTCCAACACAGCAGAACTCTTCCAGCAATTCCTGAACAGCCTTCAAATACCTAGAATTTCTCAAACCATTCTCAGTTCTCTGAGTTGCTGCAAACCCAACTAGAACTTGAGAATTGTGTTCTCTAATTCCTTGTGAATGTAATAGTTGTTGATTAATCTCCAAGTTCTTTGATTCATATGGATTCATAGAAGGCCCCTCTCCATGATTACAGAAGAAAATCCCATTATTTCCCACCCTCAATTCCTCTAGTTTTGCAGCAGCTTCCAAGTTCTGTAATGAAGACGATAATGACAGAGAAAGACCTTGACCCTCCACTAACCTTCCACAGCTGCTACCAGGACCCCAAGAGAGTTGAGCCGGACGGTTCATGCTGGCTGTAACATCTGAACCTACCAAGTGAAACCCTTGAAGCTGAGAGTCTGATGAGTTTGGGAATAACAAGTTCAGAGAAGATGATGTACCGGAAGGAGAAGATGATTTGACTTGAGTGTTCATGGAAGAAAACTGCATAGAATTTGTTGATGAGACTGAATTAATGCTCAAAAACTGATGATTACTCACTATATTACCACAATCATTATCATCAACATGTTCCACTTCCCCCAAAATGGCTACCTCAGCCTCATTTGCTACTGTTTGTAGCTGTTTTGGTGGCCATTTATAATATGGATTGATCTGATCATTGAAGATGTCGGCGGTGGCTACAGGCCAGGATGGGAAGTTGATGACCTGAGAAAGCATTCCGCCGGTGTCATATACCAGCAAATTGCCGGAAACTTCCTCTTGTAGAGGCTCTGGTGGGTCGAAGCCTTGCACTCTTAACATTTCCTTCTGGTTACTGCCTCCTATGTGCTTTGTCACCACAAATCTTTCATGCCCCTTTGAAGATTTGATGTGTTAGTGGAAGCTTTGGGACATAGAATTTGAAGAAGAAACACCTTTTCGATTTGGACTTCAACGTGCTGGTGATTTCAGTTGTAGAGTTGGCCTTTTTGGTGAGACAACAAATTGCAGGATGGTTTAGAACTTTAGATAGATTAAAGAAGGAATGAAATGTTAAACAAGAAAGAGATTTTGCAGAATAGATCAACATAGGTGTAGATTCAAAATCTTTAAAACTTGAGATGAAGTATAGATGGATTGTTTGAATGGATCTGATTGTTGTTCTTTTTTAATTGTTCTTTTTTTTTCTTTTTTCATTTTTTGATGGCTAGTTTGGTAGTTGATATTTACCTGGTTATGGCTGTAAAGCTGGGACTGAAGCTGAAGAACTCAGAAAACATCCTTTTTTCTGAGTGTTATAGAGAACTACTATCTCTTCATCTGTTGATCTTTGATTCATCTTTCATATCGCCTTCACAGAACTGTGAACTGAATTCACAATCGGACAACAAACAAGCCAGTGAGATGGGGATAACGAAAGGGGAAGGAGAGAATAAAGGTCCCCTCTTAACTCTTCCTCTTCACTTCCTCCTCCACTTTCACCCTACTTTCCTTATAATATGAGGACATATTTTTGGAATTATTCAAAAATTACCCAAAAAAAAGTTAGTGATAGTCACTCTCAACGGCTGGGAATTTTCTAAGGATGCCTAACTAAGATGTAAAAAAGAATATAAATTATGGGATATTGATGTAGGGAAGTGGAAAAAAGCAAAGGTATAACAAATTAAAAGCGAAAATGAAAATAAATCGTTGATTTACACATAAATACCGATTTAAATTTTTACTTTAGGCTTGTTGATTCACAAATAATATCAGTTCTAAAAGTTTTAATAACTCTGTTAATTCCAAAGAATACCAGAAAAATTGAGAAGAAAAAAAAACAATCAAATAAAATAAAATCCTAAATAAATTAAGAAATTGAATAAAATAAAATTTTAAAATTGAATTGAATAAAATAAAATAAAATAAAATATTTTAGAATTTCATTATTGAATGGAATTGACCACGTTCAATAGATTACCAAAATTATTGTCACCCATACCCGTTTGACCTGCCCGATCCTCCTTAATATCGATCCTAGTGATCCAAGTATTGTGTTGTGATATAATCTGCATCAGATGTGTTAAAAGAACTAAAAAATTGATATAATTTATTAACTTAATGACGTAGTGTATAGTAAATTCTCGAAAAAAAAGTGTAAAAATTATAGTTAGAATAATAATATTAGACTTATATAACGGTCACGTCAATAAATTAAATTAATTTTTAAAATAGTATTACTAATAAATTATTTTTGTACGGTGGTAGAGCCTCTGGTACCATGAGATGAAAAAATTCAAGAGCCATCACATTACTTCTGGAACCAATGATCTTGACAGCCCACAAGCAGTTCAGGTGACTTGTAGAATTTGACTAGTTTGGTCTTGAGGTGAAACTATGATTGGGGGTACAAGTCATGGAGGGGTTTTAGGTGAAAATCATGTCATTGTCAGTTGGAGTAGAGGCATGATGGCTTCCAAACCAATATGCATGCCCGAATATATTGTTTTTAGGAGTTCAGAGTGCTCTCCAACCTTAGTGTCGCTAACTCCATATCATGCATACACATCCAGATCAAAAAAGGGATACAAAAAAACTGTCATGCATACTTACGGTTTTCTACTTTACTGGTAAGATTCGTATTAAAACCTTAGGACATGTCTACGGTCAAAAAAAAAAAAAATTTTTGGTATCAGGTCAATTTTTATAATATTTATAAGTATTTTTATAATATTTATACGTATTTTTATCATTTATATGATACTAAAAAAAGTGACAAAATAGTTATCATAACAGTGACAAAAATATTTAAAATAGTGGTAAAAATACACAAATGTGATCAATTACTCATAAAAATGATATATTTTTTTGTATCCAAGAAAAATGGTAAAAATAGTTACCATAAATATAATAAATTTTTTTATTATAAAATGACCCACAAAAATTATAAAAATATCACTAATTAAAATAGTAAAATTTTAAAGTACAAATTTTTTTTAGGTACCGTAGTCAAGTCCTAAAACCTTGAGTGGCTTTATAATTGGTGAATATGGATTTATTTTTATTTTTATTTTTATTTTGAACCCCAAGAAAAACGAGGAAAAGATTCTTGGAGTTGTGAGTTTTTTTTTTCCCGGAAAATAAATAATTTGTGTTGATTATAACCCTATGATGTATGGGTTCCAATCAAGTGAGGCATGGCCATTCCAAACTACATTAGGCTTGGTCTTGAGTCAGTACTTCCAACTAAACCCTATCTTAATAGAGATTTAGGCGGCAAAATATATGGGAAACATGACCAGTAACTGCGCCCAAAGAATGTGCATTCAAGCATCCTGTTGGTAATTGCCATGGCTGTCCCTTTAGGTCATCTGATTATTAGCAATGTTGGGTGTTGGATCGTTGCTGTAAAAATTATGTTTTTTTTTTTAAAGAGACAGAGAGAGAGACTACAAGCTGTAAAAAAATTTAAATGAAGATTTTCATGTTCTATTTTTGGAAAATAATTGCCAAAAAAACCTTCCAAAAATATTAGACACAAACATTACCAAAAAAAAAAAAAAACCCTTCATTGTGGTGTTCTATACATATGCATATATATATATATACTGATATTTATGCAAAACTAGTAATGCACCATTTATGTTGCACGTAAACAAGTTAAATAATTTTTTTTATAGAAAATGTAAATAATATGTTTATTTAAATTAAATAATAATTTAGGTATCGAATAATTTATTTGTATTTTAATTATTGCTAAATTAGATGGTTGATTTATTCTATAAGTCTTTGAGTACCTAACTTAACTTGTCATTTATTTAAGTATCTTTTCGACCCCTTTAGGCATTTGCATATCTAATTATGTTATAAAATTATTAAATTTTTTGTTAAATATTGATTAGATAGCTTATTATATTATTATACACTAAAAAGTTAAATATAATATATATTTGACCATGAAAATTAATCTAATAACTACATGTGTATAATAATTTAATATAACTAAGACTTTATTTTTCATATAAATATAGATATGAAAAATAGTATGTAAGTGCATTACTAATAAATGAGTCCAAATCTTTTAATAAAAGACTCAAAAACAAGTTGAAAGTTTAATAGGTGGGTATAATTTATTTTATAATAATAATTAAAGATAAAATAAAAAATAATTTTTTTTTTCAGATGCTGACATTTAAAGAATTAAAAGTCTTTAATAAAAGAGTCTAAAATAAGTTAAAATTTAATTATGTGAGTATAATTAACTTTATCATAATAATTAAAGATAAAATAAGAAATTAAATTTTTTTCGAAAAATGTTGATATTTTTTAAATAGTATAGATAGACTAGTCATAATTCATGCCTAAAGGCACGATAGAACATAAAATTCAAGTACTCAAAAAATTGATCCCACTATATTAAATAATAAATTTTCTTTCCTTTATTTCTTTAATTACATCATTTAAAGTTTATTTTTATTCAAAATTTTCTTTAAAATATCAATAAAATCTTCTCAATATACGTAATCCGATAAATTTTTTTCAAAATATGTATACTATTATGTATAGATAATGTTTGAGATAAACATTATATTAAACTATAAATTAATTAAATTTTAAATGATTGAACATGTAATAAAAATGGGTGATATGATTTTTTTGGGAGAAAAATATGGAAGGGATAAAAATTTAAGTTGTTAGGTGTTTTATTATATAGATATAAATAATAAATTATATAACCAATTATTTATTGGTAGTTAAAATAATTCTAGGATATTTAAATGAAAAGTCACAACTCTTCTAAGATATATATGAAACACTAAAAACAATGGGTTTCTATCTTTGGCTATAGAGATGAATTTAGTTGTTAATTTCCTATTTCTATTATCATATTTTTTTAATATTGGTTTTCAAAGTTTCATTCCGGTTGAATTCTAGTGCAAAGACTACTAAAAAATGTAGTCTTAAATGCTAGGTATTATATGTTGAGAAAGAGTTGTCATGAATTCATCTACATCATAGGAAAAAAATAATTACTATCTCGAGTACGACATCCTGAATATCTTTCTTTTTTTTTTTGGCTCTAGTTTACTATTTTTAATCACTGTAATTTGTGTCCTTTATATTGAGTTTCTGAATAAAAAACAAACCACTTGAACTTGAAAGGAAAAAAGGTTGAAGGAAAGAAAAAGAGCTAGCTTAAATATATCCTTAAAGTAAAACTTTCCGTACACTACTATATTGCTTAATTGAATCAAGTTACGTACACTGCTATATATAAAATTGCATAAACTCCAAATTGCAATTCCAAATTTTAGCTATTTATATATATATATATAATTTTTTTTTAATTCTTTTTTGGTATGCACCAGGCTAACGCAGTAGTACAACGCCTAAGCGACGCATTAACGCCCCAACAACAAGCTACCGTGGTGGACCCTCCTTCCTTCAAAAAAATAATTGAGTATACGTACCTCAATTTTAATTAAGTAGAATATAGGTATATAATTACAAGATTTTTAATTCTATTTTATTGCATACTATCTCACTCAAGAGAGCTGGTACGCAAACAAGTAGCTTTTGGCCATAATGTCGTGAATTCATTGGAAAGGGACCACATATCTCCTTGTCGGGGGGTGTTTATGAGGTGTTCTTTTGTGACTTAGAAGATCCAAAGTCTGCTCACAGTCACAGCCAGCTGATGAAATTATGAGTGCCTGCCTGACTCTGGTGGGAGGGACTACCGATTAAAAGATGTGTATAGATGGTGACAGCAACCATTATCTATTCAGGAAGATAAACTACTCTATTTACTTGACAACCCTAAACACCAAATTATGAACCACATATATATATATATTAATTATTGTTTGTACCTGAAGACACAGATTAATAAAAAAAATAGTTAACAATAAATATATTTGTATTCACATGTAAAATTAAATCACAAAAAATATAAAAGAGAAATAAATGAATTTAAACATTAGTTGTAGTAAGAGTGAGGAATGATAGTGGTAGTGGACAGTAGTGGCGACGGTGGTGGTGGTGGTAATGGTGATGGCCGTGGGAGTAGTAGTGGGACAATAGGGATAATGATAGAACAGTGACAATAAGGTGGTGGTGGGGTGGTAACAGTTGTGGTGGCAGCAATGATGATGGTAGGAGTTGTGATAATGGGAGTGGCGGCAACGGTGATGGTGGTGGGGTGATGGGGGGTGGTGGCAGCAGCAGCAGTGGTGGTGGTGTAATGAGGGGTAATAGGGGTGATGGCCGTGGTGAGGCAATGGGTGGGTTGATGGTGGCAGCGGCAACAGTGGTTGTTGTTGTGGCATAGGTGATAGTGGGGTGACGATGATGATGGGGGTGGTGGTGGGAGGACAGTTCTAAACACTATTTTTTTTTTACAAAGTACTTATGAGAAATTAAAAGTTTTAAAAATATTTTTAAAAAGTCACTCAAAACACACCTTTAGGGGTCTATTTTCCTTATTAAATTTTGGAAATTAATATTAGCAGTCGCATTAA